GACTCTATTTAAAATCACAGCGTTACTCCCTGGAAAAATATTTTTATGCATCCTGTAGTAATTTGTCATAAAATGTTGTTCGATCATGTATCAAAAAGACTCAAGCAATATATTCGCATGTTCTACTTTCATATTAACATTTTATTACCATTTTGTACAGCTTTTCTTGCGCTATCTAAATATATCCAAGAAAATTCTTTTTGATTGTATTCTCGATATTTTAGATCCAAAATACCATTCGCAAGCGTTTTGTCGTCGGTGGATAGGTCTGCTCTAAATTTGAACACAATTTCCACGTACTACACTCTAATTTAGGACCATGTACCTATCTAGAGCGTTTCTTGGTGAGATTGATGGAAACTGTTCTGATCATATCTGATCAAGAGAGCAACATATTCAGCTGAACCTTTGTAGATATGTAGAAAAAAATATGAGGAATAAGTTCTCTAGCGGACAACTCGACTCAATTTTGAAGTTTCTAAGTAGATATGACACAATTGTTGAACTTTGCTTATTCTCCTATGTATTTATGCTAGAACGCTCTAATTTGGTGTAACTTTTGCATTGACACTCTTATTGAAGACATTGTACTTAATTAGAGTATTATCAATCGACTTCATACTACCACTCATAACTCGAGCACTTGTCAACATTAAAAAAAAATTTTCTTTATCAATAAATAGACAAGACATGGATTTATTTTATCAAAGAATTTGAGCTGATTTTCTCATTATTTAACTGAGATACTAAAGATTGAACATGAACATACAAAAACTCCACTACAATTAGAAACATGCACTGTAATTAATGTTAATATTCACATACAACAACTTGCCATAAAATTAAAATGAATTCGTTAACTACATCGAAATAAATATTCATTCGTCCTTGTTGTTGAACACTTGTAAGGTTATCAATTTAATTTCTTAAATTAATAAAAGTCATCTTTAATATACGGACTTGATGATAGTATAAAACAATTCAAATTTAATAAATCAGTTTTCGAACATTAATTTTTGTTGTTTTTTCGTTCTATAACTCAGTTTTCGTAGGCGTCTGCCTAGTCTAGAGTTGAGAAAAAAAATATTGACACAAATCATGAGTAGTGACGCATATTAACCATGGCGTGATATGTTTCCTAGAAATGTTTTTATTGGTTCTGTAATGACTACGTTGACTGTGAGTCATATTGTTGGGTCTATAAAAACGTGAAAGAATAATAAAAACAAAATACATCATTGAAATTGCTTACTATCAAAAACATCATATTATTTGACTTATGCATCTATTTCTTGGTTGGCGTCCAATGCAGGATCATATTGGTTCTTTAGGACATACAATTGAACATTGTTTATGGGGTGATAGTCGTGCTCGCCATACATTTTTATTAGCATCAACTGATGAATGTCCTTTAGTTTTAATTGAAATTGATGTTGGTGATAATAAAAATGGTATTCAAAAAAGTATGAAATTAAATATTGTTGAATTAAATGAAATACCCGAAGATATTGAAAGAATTGAATGTATTGGTGAAACTAAATCTGAAAAAGCATTAGAAAATCTTATTCAATCTGCACAAAATTATGTATATAATCATCCAAATTATCATGTTTTATTAAATAATTGTCGAACATTTGTCGAATATCTTATTGATCAAATACCTGAATTTCATGATTCAATACCACGTAAAAATGGTTCTATACTTGAATATTATCATAAACAAGCAAAACATGAACATCCAGGAGCAATATTTAAAAGTAAAAAACTTCTGAAACGTATTCGAGATCATCATCAACACAATAAAGAATACAAATATACTCGTCAATTAGTCTTAGACCTACCACTACTTGATTGGGACATAAATAATAATAATAATACACAAACTGTTGAAAAATAATTGTAGAAAAAAAGAAAATTGATGTATTTGTTTTTAAATATTTTTTGATTAGAGTTATTATTTATGATACTGAATTGCTAGCAATATATTTTGTTAAACAAACCAGACACGTGTACAATATCTAAAAAGAAAGAGGCAGGGTTGGCGTGTAGTAAGATCAACGGACAGTTGCCTGACAGCCGCAACTAACGGTCACTGAAGAATTTTTCTTTCTCGTCTTTCGATACTATAATACTCCTTGAAAAAAAAGTGTGTTTCATTTTTGAATACTGGCGTATAAACAATCATATAAAGTTGAAGAATATTATAATAAAGTATTTAATTAGACAAGATATATTATCAGAATAAATTTTAATCGAAATTGATTACGATTTAATTCATCAATTTAACATATAAGCATTAAAATGAGATAATAACACAAACGATATCTAATAAAGAATGAGTCTATCAACGACTAGATCCATTCTCTTAATATTCCAGCATTTCATGTATTTTTCTTTTGTGAAACACTATCTGAAACCATCGTTGAAGTATAGAGTTAGAAAATTCAACCCTCCCTACTAAAGCCTGTAGGGTCCAAAATTTTCGGACTCGGATCCATCCGGATCCGGAATCAACCCGATAGACTCTGCCCGCACAGGCCTAATCGTGGCAGATGATCTACAAATATTCCTCGCTGTTATGGGCATTGCCTTCACAGTAAGTTTTTCTTTTTCTTTCTTCTTTCTTTTTCCCTGGATGTAATATCTTCGATCATATATCATCATTTCTTTCTTTTCGTTAAAATCCTTGATGTGTGTGATCATATATAAATGCGCATTTTTCCTCTTCTTTTTTGGTTCGTTATGTAGCTTAGTTGTTATTTGTGTGTGAAGATGTAGGTGTGTGTGAGAACATTTTTGATTTAGTAAAAACTAAAGAAAAAGGTTAAGCATCTTTTTCCCCTAATACTCGTCTTCTTTCTTCCTGCATCACAGACTGTATGTCAATAGTGTCTCGCTATAATAACTATATGAAGTATTTCCTTATTGCATTTCTGGAGGATTAAGCGAAAGGGGATAATAAAGAAATGTATTCCCAAATCGATAGAATAAAACAATCTCTCTGAGATTAGCAACAGTAACTACATTGTGCATCACATTTTAATCCCACAGGGATTGTGCTAACAGCTTTTTAAAAAGTTGCTGCCAATAGAGTCTAACAGCTGGTATGATAAGAGGTTCAACCATGTACCTCTACAAGGAAAGTGGATGTATCTAAAATAAACCCACCCTATTTAGAATACACTGTTGATAAATTGTTATTATTCTAAGATAGCTCTTTACAGTAATCTCATATTTATAATAAAGTATTAGAACAATGATTGAATACTACATGAATTCATATGTAACAAAGGTAATCTTAATATAAATACAACGAGTTTTAGCAACATCTTTTTTTGTTTTGGTCTATGAGCTACTACGTTGTGTTTCTAGCAATTATCGATACCAATATAAGAGACTATTAAGGTAGTTAATTAATCCTAAGAGAAAACAATGGATATCAAAAATTACAGTCTACTGTTTTCTATGTGTCTGCAATCGACAAGTGTTATTAGTGGTTACATATTTTTTTTTGGGAGTCGATATATATATAGATAGCTTGATGAAATTTAGCAAGTCTGTAATTGAATGAATAATTCAAAACATCAAGAATCAATTTTCAATGCTTCATGAACGTTAAGATTCAATTCACCTATCCTTTTTTTTAACACGACTCACTGTTAATAAACAAAATTTAATGTCTATGAATCATTTTAGAAAATATCGATTTTTATCTCTTAAGAAAATTTTGCTAAATAAATTCTCTTAAATGGTATCGATCCATTTTTCCTATATTTGATAAATTCGAGTTGATGTATCTTTTAGTTCTTATATCTCGTATTATCAAAATTATGATAACAACCATTCGATATAAACTATGACATACTACCATGGATGAAATTCCATAGTAAAATTTTCAGCCCTATACCATGACATTTTTTGTAAGATATTCAACAAATAAAGGTTAAAAATAGTACATACATAGAAAATTCTATATACTTGATGTTTTTTTTTTCTTGAAAAAGCATGTCAGCATGTAAGAACTTTGTTTTTTTAAA